CCCCCCCCCCCCCCCCCCCCCCCCCCCTTCTCTCCCCTTCGCTAAAACAATTCGAGCGATTCTAAGGGTGTTTCGTATACCTGAATATGAAAACTGCTGCGTTGTATCAGTGGATGTAAATTTTGAGGATTTTTTGAAATTTCTGTACTTTTGTGGATGGAGGCTCCTTCTTTCACTAGTGTGATGTGTTCAACAAGTCGTTCGAATTAGATCTTGGAAAACAAGTTTGAAGATTATCAGTAAGTTTTAGACTACCAGCGTGAAGATCAGCAAGATCTTTCAGACTATTATTTTGAAGGTTGCCATAATCGGTTGAATAACGAGCATGAAGATTGTTAAAAACGTCTGGATTATACTGAGATCGTCGGGATATTTACTACTAATGTGAAGATATCTCCCAAAATCTGATATGTTATCTTCCAAAAGTTTAAAAAATTTCAAATGAAACAGCACAAATAATCTGAGACGCAATAAATTTCTTCGCTGCCAAAAATATTGGTCATCCAGAAGAGCAACAAAATTTCCCCTGCTTACGATTAGTAGTGTCATCGGAAGAGGAAGGAGGGCTTTTCAAATGTATCGACGAGGCACTCTGAGCTGTTTGACGCTCCAGCAAATGTTCGGCAATAGCAGTGATCACCTTTCGGATACCTTCACCGTTCAGTGCCGATGTTTCATGGAATGCAGCACCAACCTGTTCTGCTAACTGTACTCCTTCCTTGTGCGTCACCGTACGAGCATTTTCCAGATCGAGCTTATTGCCAACAATAAATAATGAGACTGGATTTGTTGAACCACGTTCCACTTCTGAACGCATATCAGTGAGATTAGTGTTTATATTTATTCTGATAATATGAGCAACTGTTATTTCACTGCCGCGCTTCTCGCCACTGATGCACCAACTCACAACTTCTCCATTCTTCTCTATTTTAAACCTCTCTCATCCACATAATTCCATGTAATCGTTCAAAGCACCTATTATATGCTCGATTTCTCGAAACTGCTAAGTTATTTTATTCAAAAAAAAGCCATGCTCGATCAGAATTCATTAGTTGCTATTATGTCCGAAATGCTTTATTCCTCCGGTAAGACTGAAAATTTAAACCTAAAAACCAGCACTACAAGAAAAGGAAAGGTTACAGATGTGACCTAATCGCAGTAAACTTTTGAAAAACGTGAATTAAAAGAAGAAATAGCTCAGATTGCATAAGATGAAAAAAATTAAAGGAAAGTATGCAAGTGTCTAGCGCTTAGGTTAGTACCACCCCGGATATGCGTGGAAAACAGTAGACTGGGCCTCGTCAATGCACCAGTAACAGTTTCAAGACAAATTTCAACTTACATACCCGCAACAAAAAAGACAAAAAAATAATTTAGTACGGGGTGCCCAGGTACAGCTCCCTGCCTTTAAACTGGGTAATGAGGACGGAACAAAGGCGCTAGTAAGGAATTGGAAACGATTAAAAGTGACAGTGGTTGGGGTGCCCAGATGAAGCTCCGTGGGCAAAGTTTGGAGACAGGGCGTCGAGGAGAGGAACAAGGGTGCTAGCAAGTAGTTGGAAACTAAAACAGCCACAGTTAAACACTTTTTCATTAACGATACATCTGGCAACCATCCATTGTTCGTCACGGAAGTCCCACGAAAAGCCGACAGTTATTAAAGGATATGCTGTACAGGATGCAGTAAAAACACGACATTAGAATGTGTATGGGGCTACCGTATATAGGTATATGCTGCAACTACTGGGCTAGGAGCATAAGGTCCAGTATGAGTAGGTCGTGTCTGGATGTGAAGACGAGTGTTCAATTTCCTCCCGAACCATACCCATTTACAAATAGGGAGTTTTGCCCACGAGAAGCACTGGCTGCTGCTTGAATTCAAAGAAATGTGCAAGAAATCCAAAGAAATGTACAAGTATAAACGGTATGGGAAAGAAAAAGACAAAACAGAATGCTGCAAGCTAACCATTAATCCATTTTTTTAGTTCCAGAAATGATTCACGATCCGTAATATCGTACACAATCACAGCTGCAACCGCATTACGAAGATACATGGGGAGCTAAAAAAAGAAAAAATAACGGTTCTGAGAAAATTTCTCAACGGAAATGTGCAATCACTGCACACAGCAATACTGCCCACAACACTATGACGTAAGTAGTGCCGCCATCCATCAGGCTAAAAATGAAGGTTCCCCTAAAAAATGTACTGAAACTCGTTCTGGTCAGTAAAATACTTCATCGTGGTCCCTGAAAAGCAATGTTCTGGACAAGGCGGTGATGCCCAGCCCATACTTAAGGCATCTCGAAATGCGTAATCATTGCACAAAGCAACATTTTCATCGAAAAAATTACTGAGCCTGTATTTTTCACATGAAACGAAACGGACATCAGGAATGGCCGAGTAGGCTAACCATCAGGTGAGGGGAGCACTGGTGTAAGAAGCAACTGGTAATGTTCGCAAATGTAAATCTTGAAAACACAATGTAATTTATAATTTTATTATTATTTTATTATAAATCACACTTTTTACATTATATTAGTTTTGTTATAATAGTTATAATAATTTTGGCACAATAATTTTACTAATTTCGTAATTCTCATCTTTCATCTTCTTTGATTATTCTTATTTCATCCGTTGTTAATATACCTTTCTGTTACAGTTGACTGTTAAGGCTTACCATGGATGAGTACCGCTCCTGCCCAGCTGTATCCCAGATCTGTAGCTCGACGTTTTTTCCGCCCAGTAAACTGCAAAAAACAAACTTTTGCGAATTCTGATACACGGCAAATCATCGCTGTCATCAAATCTTTTCAAATTAAATGTATGAAATTTTCAATAATTTTTATCAAATTTATGCTTGACTGGCTATTTTTTGCGTTAAATTTTGCACTAAATTCAACTTTTGCATTTTTCTTTGACTTAAATCTTTGCCCTCATAGCTTTCCTTTGCTTCGCCTTATTTAATTTTTCATGCTTTTTTCCGATAGCTGACTTTCGCTCGGCTTAAAAGCGATAGACAGAACGGTGTTCACAGTCCTACCCTCCTATTTATATAAATCATTAGCAAACAATTCAAGCCACCAAATTTCTCTCATAAAAATTGGTATTTTTTATTGCAGATATCTTGACGGTGCCATTTTTTCGTTATCAGCACTGTTCTAGATCTATTCAGCATTTTTCCCGATTTTGAGTACGCCAAATAAAACAATTCCTTTTACGATTCTTCCACCCCGTACATGGATTTCTTCTACGTTTTTTTTTTTTTCCCATTTCTATTACTTTCCTAGAGACAAAATATCAAATTATTATTCCCTGTAAGTGTTTCTTAAAGTGAACTTACAATGCTGAAGAGATGAAGCTGGCTCCTAACGTTGGGCTCACTTTACTGTAGAATCCTTGTCCATCATGCCGTAAAATGATACTTGTCTTTCCTACACCTGGAAATAAAACACTTCGGCATTCGAAAAATACCACAAAACAAGTTCACAGTCTATCGCAGCATAAAGTTCTGCTATCAGTTATTTCGATTTTTGATATAAGAATCAATGAAAAAAGTGGAAAAAAAAAAGAAATTCGGGAACTAACCACTTTTACCAACGAAGATAACTTTGCCTTTCAGATCTGGCTTATTGATCATTCTGGATGTGTGAGGCATGTGAGCTGATAAATTCGTATTTGTATTATTCCAAATGATAAGTGTCTATCTCTGGAAAGATTTTTTTTCAAAAAATTACAAAATCTATACCAAATTAGAGCGCACCAAAAATGATGGTCAACAAGCTGACCGCCAGGAAATGCAGCACTGAGCAAATGGACAAGCTGGGGATATGCATTAGCTAAGTCGATCACACTATAAACCAGCAGTTATCCAAGTCTTCCAAGTATCTCCGCCTGTTCATCGATCGCAAACACCAAAGTACGGAACAAGGTTTGTATTGAATGCAAATACAGAACAAATCTGACACATTATTTAAGGATTAGCAATACAAGTTAAGCTGTTTGTCCACTCAATTATTTCGGGATTAATCCCTCAAAAACGCCAATATCCGAAATTTTTCAAATTTTTCATATCTCCTCAAATCTTGTTTGTTTTGGCCTACTGCTTTTTTATGCATTTTGTGCTGTGCAACAGCTGCACGTATTGTGCATATTGTCACGTGGTTGTCTTTATGTGTGTATGTGGGTATGTGTGTGTGTGTCTGACCGATGCACGTTGTTAACTTTCTCACTGTACCAATCAATAATACAGAGTCAGGTCCTCCAACATGGGGGATGGCAAGTTTACCTGTTGCTTTGACCAATGCTGCACCAACTGGTGGTCAGTGTGCTAGCGATCCAAACATTTGTCTCCTGAAGAGATTACCAGCGCCCCGGCACTCCGGATAGAAGTACTTGGCAAGATTTTCGCAGTTTGGTGATACCCTTGATGTATTTTGATAAACACCACCTCATCTTAGAATATGTCATTTCCAGATTAAAATGAGGCAAAAAAGCAGTAAAATCATCAGGAACAAAGAAATCTCAAAAAATCGAATTCGTCAAAAATAAGAAATTTTGAAAAAAAAAATCTAGAACGTCTGCTTAAATATAAGCAAACAATTACGATGTTTTGAAAAATGCAAAAAAAGAGGCTTTTTTCCAGGAATATAATCGAATAAGCAGCTTAACTATGCCGCTGCTGCAAATGTGTATGCTGTATTGTTGAGCATGGCACACAATGGTGGATGGTGCATCAGTTTTTTTCAAATGACCATACAAAACTTTGAAGGTCAAGGTCAACACGTACTTGAAAAATTAAAACGAACCAAAAAAAAGAAACAATATTTTTCACAAATATACAAATGCAAGAAGTGTTCATACTCCGGTAAAATACATTTAAGTATAATGAAATAAAAAGCACAATGGATGCAAGCAAAAACGCAAAACCATGTACATAGTGCTCGGCAAAAAAAACTGGCTATGAAAAATTCGAAATCGTTTGGAACTTAAAAAACAAGTACCGAAATGGACAATATTTACAAGCTCAACTTGTCCGTTACAAGTATTTTGACAAACTGCCCCCAATTCGCGTTTATGCGAGATGATAAGAATAATAAAATAAAAATGACAGTGAAATGACGGAATAATAATACTGGTAACTTAGATAACAATAAAACTGATAACAATAATGATAATAATAGTAATAATAATAATGATGATAATAGTAACGGTAATAATAATAATGATAATAATAGTAGTACAATAACCATCGCACGCGTAAAAAAGTATTCCCGCCCGAATTCGTACTTGGTTCGTATTAGAAATTTAAAAATTTATGCTCAAAAAACGCGCTAAATCAGTTTTCAAGTTGTCAATTTTTCGTCGATTAGTTTCCCCAGTTTGATCGCCCATTAACTAATTAATTGGCCCGGAAGTCAACCATACAGGGATACCATAAAAACTGGGTTTCAAGACTTAGAGACAGAGAAGTTGAATCATACTGACAGGCACTCAGCAGATTTTCACATATAGATAAGACAAAATAATGCCGTTCCGAGAAAAGCATAAAATTTAGCAATATACATGATAAAATATGATAACGAAATGCACGGGTGAACAAACTAACATTTTAAAAAATAAGAGGGAAAAAAGTTTCGAAAACTTTACCAGCCGATAAGTTACCATCAAGTGATCTAAGAGTACTCCTAATCCAAGTAAGATGATGATGCCCAACACATACCAGAAATATCTCGAAACAGCTAAAACCCAGCCATGTGCTTCTGACAGAGGAATCTTTCAGCGGGTATTGCCTTCAGAGGACGAAACGAAAGTTAGGATCGCCAGCAGGCTGACCACTGGGCCAATGCAGCATTAGATAAAATAACTACGAAAATTAGCCAGCTGTGTAGCTGCAGAAAAAAAAAAATTATGAATCACAGCTATTCCAAGTGTTCCAAGAACGAAAAAAAAAGAGAAAATGAGCTGAAATACAAACGCACAGTATTCAATATACAATTACTTCTAATAAGTGAATAAAATGAAAAAATAAATCAAATGTATCCCCTAACCAGTGAAATTTCAAAACACATTTTGTATATGAAAATAAATTCAAGAAACACTAGGATAGTCTAAACTGCTATTGAAGTTTCGTCTTTTCTAAGAAATTTGAATTTTTGGCCCTTCAGCCATTTTAGGTATTCTCAAAAAAAGAAAACGGGAACAGAAGTGTACAAAAACTTTAGGATAATCCGAGCTGCTATTGAAGATTCGTCTTTTCAAGAAAATTTGAATTTTTGGCCCTTCGATCATTTTAGGGATTCTCAAAAAAAGGAAAAAAAAAGAAAATTGGCCAACGCACGGGCTGCCCGTGCGAAGATGCGTTTTTTGCAAAGTTCCCCGCAGTTTTT